GTTGCTCCCTACTATCACCAATCATCTTCCTGATTGTGGTCGACTGGACTGGATTCGATCATGCAACAGACAACTGTGAGGAGCTGTGAGAAGATGAGCGTACGCTGTTTGACCGATGCGATGAAAAGACCCCAGAAGAAGATACGGATTTCACCCATGATGATGATTTATGTCTAACGTCTACTGTCGCATAAACTCAAAGATATACAGGCAAAAACTAACAAGTTGACAGAAGAGGTAGGGTAGCGAAAACATGACTTCCTTCAGGTGAACATAGAGAAGGCAGAGGTGATGAAGATACCCAACCGACGACAACAACAACAAACACCAATCACCATCAACAGGAGAAATCGAAAGTAAGTTGTCTCTTGCACCTGCCTGCCTAAGCAAGTATCGTTTCAACTACAGGCGGCGGCACAGGCACAGATGAGGATGTCAAAACCAGGATTGGAAAGACAGCAAGACAGGCCTGCCTTCATTAATCTGAAATAATCAGTGTGGAAATCAACTGCATTTTACTCCACTGTTCTGCAATGCACTCAGCATAAAATGTGAACAACATCCCGATTTTCAACACTAATTCAGTCAAGTCAGTGCTTCTGTGTGATGATTCACAGACTTGGTGGTGCGTTAGCAAAAACATTTCCAACAAACTGCAGACATCATACACGAACAGCTGCCAGCTACGCTCAATCGATACTGAAGACCACATCAGATGGCTAGAGTAATAAGAATAAACAAAAAGGAACTCTGGCCTGGCTGGCGATGAACCAGCCAACCAACAACCTATCACCCAACAAATGTGCAGAAGAAGAAAGTGGAGATGGATTGGATTGGACATATACTGAGAATACCGTTTTTAGACATCACGTGTCAAACCAGACCCTCGAGCGGAACCCAAATGAAAAACGACTAGTTGGGCGTCCGAAGCGATGGTGACATGGTGGAGATGGTGTGAAGAGGAAATGAAAGGTTGTCAGCAATCATGCAGCTGGGTTGAAAAGACTGGAGAGAGGATAGTGAAATGGAGGCGTGTTACTGAATCCCTATGTTCCACTAGGAACGCAAAAGACAAACTTTTATAAAAATAAAAAATCCTGTGAAATAAACTGTTAGACAATTTTAATCCAGTATTCAACACGGACTGACATCCATTGGAGGACTATTGGAAACTTAAACAACCGTTTTGTGCTAGTACTGGCCTCCTCAGAAGCATACACCCTATACTAGGAAGAAACGGTTGTCTGGTGCTTCTCTAATTGATGTTAGTCCATGATAAATAACAACTGGAAATCAATAGGTGAAACCCTCATTGACCTCAGGAGAACTAACCGTCAATATTCAAGTTTATTGTAACGATTCAATGTGTGTACACTTTTTAATGTAAAAATATTGAATTTAGAGACAGAATACCGGTGATAGTTTAACGAGTCTTTCAAATTCTCATCTTTTCAATGATATTATGAGAATATTCTGTGTACTGAGTCGTAAATGATTATCAGGTTTAAATATTCTCATTAACAGAGAAATATATACAAAGAGAATATTGAATGTCGTCGTTCAAGTTGTTACAGTTTGAAATAATTTAATGTCTGCTAACCCATAATGTGATATATATATATATATATATATATATATATATATATATATATATTTGAGATGAATGGAGATTTTTAATTTAGAAGTAGTATTCATCATGGACTGACATCAGTTGGGGAACCATTGAAAATCTGGGAGCACTGGACAGCTGTTCCGTCCCACTAGTATGGGACTCCTCTGTCGTGAATTGACAGAAGTTGGAAATTGTGAACCACTGGAAACCGACCCAGTGACTGAATGGTTAACGTGTTCGCCATGAAACCTGAAGGTCCTGAGTTCGACCCCTAGCCGGGTCGTAGGTACGTACTGCTGAGGAGTCCCATACTAGTTGGACGAAACAGCTGTCCAGTGCTCCCGGATTTTCAATGGTTCCCCAATTGATGTCAGTCCATGATGAATACTACTTCCATATATATATCTATTGATGCCTATGATGTAACAAGCTTACATTAAGAAAAATTTTAATGATGAAGACTTCAACTTCTAAACAATCAGCTGATTTATGACGACCTAATTACACAGACAGGAACTGCTAGAGCATATGTATTATTTCCTCTAAGAATCTGGGATAGAAAAAAAATTTAAGATGTTACACAAGTCATTGTATTCCTTGTAGTATCAAATTAGTTTCCATTAACTTACAAGATTATTGCAAATAGTAATAAGTAAGTTGAGAAGCTCGATACTGAAGACGAAGATCAGATGGCCAGGAAGAATAAGTAACAAAGAACTCTGGTTGGCTGGCAACGAACCAACCAAGAACCCATCAACTAACAAATATGCAGAAGAAGAAAATGGAGATGGATGAAGCATACACTGAGAAGGCCGATTGGGTACATCACGCGCCAGGCCATCGAGTGGAATCCAAAAGGGAAACGACAAGTTGGGCGTTCAAGACGAGGGTGACATTGAAGAGATCATGTGAGAAAGAAATAAAAGCTTGTTGGCAGTCGTGGAGCCAGGTTTAAAAGACTGCAGAGAACAGAGTGCAATGGAGGCGTGTTACTGAAGCCTTATGTTCCACTTGGAACCCAAGGGAAAAATAATAATAAGTTGAGAAAAACAGCTCCTACATGACTTTGAAGGATATGATCTCAGAGATAATTGTAGATCAAGTTTGATTAAGTGAAATCATCAAATACAAGTTTACACATGCTAAACCACACATCTAAAACCTTAGTGTTAATTAATTTAAGAAGGAGAAGATCAGAGAAAATGGAAATAGGCAATTATTTCAAAGAGTAATAATCTTTATCATATATAAACATGAATCGTAAGATAATATTACTATATTAAGATAAGTTCATAAAGTAATAATGCTTAGTTCAACAATAGGAGAAAAAATAGTTGACCTAACTAACTATTTCATTCAATTGAAAAGATGAATTTAACACCAAAAGGATGTTGATAGACCGAACTTCCATGGAAATAAAGAAAAAGATTTATTCAATATTTACTAACTGGTGATAATTGTAGATCTAAAGAATTGTCTAAACGCTTATTAAATGACACAACTACTGTGGAATCATGTGCTCTATCCTAATAAGTACCTATGAAATATAGCTATTAAAAAATATGAACTTTTATAGGTCATATAAGCATTAGTGTATTAGTGAACTCTGAATGCAGTCAATGGGTTGATAATATGAGACAAGACATGTAAACGGATAATATGATTTTCAATTAGATCTTCTCTAATAAGCATAGCTTTTCATATGAAATATGTACCAACGAAGGTAATTTATCAATGTCAACGATATTAAGAATATAGATTCAGCACTTTAATTAGAAAAAAAATAGTGGCATTATAAGTGATGATATTGTTGCTTGTATCGTTGATTGGGTCGAATTGATCGGTATCTATAGGCATATGGGCTCCTGAGCGGATGCTTCCATATTGCCAGTGTTTCAGTTGGATGGACAATAGCTGGTAGTGGAATCCGGCTTGATGCACGTTTCGTCCTATTTGGGACTTGTTAGCTGGATGTACCTGCCTTCTCCCAATGAGTGATGTTGGTATACAGTATTGTAATACAAGGAACAATATTAAAACTATACCCACCACACAAGAAGAGGCTGTCATGGCCGAGTGGTCTAGTGGGTAGCGTTTCGGCGTTTGAAGCGACAGATCCCGGGTTCGAGTCCCAGTGAAGAAAACATCACTCACTGGGAGGCAGGTGCATCCAGCTGGCGAGTCTTAAGTAGGACGAAACATGCATCAATCTGGATTCCACTGCTAGCCACTACCCATCATTAATTATAAGTGATGATATGAATAAGGAGAACAGCATGTTAATGTAAGCAGTTATTCAAACAGATAAAGTAGGACACCGCGTAGTGCTGAAAGGTGGGAAGTCAGTGGACAAACAAAGTTTCAATATGAATACGATAGAGGTATGAAAGGGTTAAGATATACAAGATGCGAAATAAAACTGTTTTAAAAATCTATAAGCAAACGTTATGAAATAGGTCATCTACGATCAAGGAGGGGAGAAAGAATGCATAAATCTCTTTTTAATACAAAGCTTAGAATCCCTTGTTCGAACTCTTATAGCTTCAGCTATATGTAAAAGGCAGATTCAAAGTCCAACGGGGAAATTCGGTGAGATGTAGTACATCCCTTTTTTTCACTCAGTCATCCGCATACGCCGAACACCACAAAATAGAGTTTCTTATACACCTCTAACTTGTTCTTTACCCGGTTATGGAGGTAACTGTTTGGCAATACGCTGGTTAAGCTATTGAACTGTACACTTGGTGAAACTGTGTCAACAGTAGCAATTAAATTGGTAAATGACACACGAAAGTGGCAAAACTCAACTCAAAGCAAATCGTTTTTGAGCCCTGAATATTCAACTTTTTTAAATCTCACGCTAACAGGGAACTCTAAGGCTCAGAATTCGAGGAACGGACAAAACGGTTAACTGAAAAATTATTTATACACTACGTGATGATTGAAGGTGAAATGAAAATTTGGACCGCCACTGGATTCGAAGCAGCGACCATCGGATTTCCGTCCCAATGCTCTATCAAATAAACCTCGTACTTCACTGAGTCGGAAATCCAGTGGTTGCTGGTTCAAATCTGGCCGCCTTCAATCATCACCGAGTATAAATACTAGTCTGCCAAACGACAGCTATCTCAAATAGTCAAATATTAATCAAAATTTATTGCTTAGATATACATTTATTCTCAATTGACTTAGAAAGTCGCTTTATGTTCCACTGTCCTTCTTAACAACTTTTAAACTCTTAGTTTCCATTCACCGTGTTCTTTATGAAGTGGATCTGATCATTTGAATCGAAACGTCACCACCATGTAACAATTTGCAATATTCCTGTCTATCCGTCTGTTTACCTACCATAACTTTTTCAAAGTAAGCAAATTAACAATCAACTAACCAATTAATTTATGTAATCGTTCACAATATGGTGAACTGTCAGGTAGACTGAAATTACCCGATTGTATAGCCAATATACTATCTCCAAAGGGTAAGTTGAAAAAGCATAGACAATATAAAAGGCAACCTAATGCCCAAATGTCAATTTGTGGACCCAATGGTATAGAGGTTGATAAACTGACCATTTCAGGAGCTCGATAGGCTAATGTTGTATATCTGAATCAATAAAAAAAAAAAAGAATAACCATTAAAAATACAAAGATTAAATTTAACTAGAGGTAATATGAGAAAAGTGTTAAAACAAAATATGATTACAGTAGAGGGAAAACATCAAACTCAACTTATACTGGTTAATTCCTCACTAATTTTGATGCTTAACAAGAAAATATTTACACCTAGTGATAGATGACTGAAGATAAAATGAAAATTTGGGTCACGGTCACCAGTTATCACCAGATTTCCGGCCCGATGCTGTACCCACTGAACTACAAGACTCGACTTCTGACCGAATTTTTATTTCACTTTAACCACCAAGAATCTTGCCCAACTGCTGTATAAATTTGTGACGTGTTACTATCGCTTGATCGTACTCACGTTGTCTACCCAGTTAGCATTGATGTATTACACAGTTGACAGAGTATTTATTTCTGCAATTAGTCAGCCAAAGGAAATATGTCTTGGTTGTATTGTGTTCTCTGAGCTGGGTTGTTTAATCGTCAAGCTTTCATGGTCTTGCTAGATGAAATCATCAGCACTAACTTCATACTAAAGTTAGTGCTGATGATGTCGTCTAGCAAGACAATGAAAGCTTCACGATTAAACAATCCAGCTCAGAGAACACAATATAACCAAGACCATCCACCTGGGCTACAAATATTCTCCATTATTTCAAGGGAAATATGTGCTTCCCAGTCAGTTGGGAATATAGTTCACGGTTGGACGACTAACCACATCAAGTTAGCCTAAATGCAGGCAATGAACTAATTGGTAACCGGTTGAGTGGAACAACCCTTAAGCAGAGTGGGGTATATATATATATATATATATATATATATATATATATATATATATATATATATATATATATATATATATATATATATATATATATATATATACGACTGCGATCTCAGAAAGGATGTATTCCACCAGGGAAAACAGGATTAAACTGCTTCGAATTATGTCACATACCCATTATTAGTATCTGGAAGCTGAAGCAACTATATCTAAATGGCTAAGACAGTTTCCTATGAGGAATAATTCATGCCTTATAGTTGTTTATTTCGACAATAATAAGAGTCTGTAAATCGATCAGTCAACATCAAAATGGAAGTTGACACTACTCCAAAGTGGTACTCACACCTTACAGCAATACACAAAGTAAATGCCATAAATGTAACCAGGATAAAAGGAAATAAGAGGGAAGATAAAGCAATGCAAATAGTTTGACTAAACGTATAGATACAAGAAAAAATAAAAGCAAGGGGAGGTGAAACCAAGACAAAATATGATATTAATCAATTTTGAATCAGATCACTTAGAGACTATCAACTATCGGTTTCACTTGTCATGCAAATCATAGTCTAGAAGTTTACATTACTCTACCAACACCCAGAGGACTCTAGACATCAATGTTCCGTTTTCGTTTACTTCTATTCCCATATAATCCTATTTGAGTCAACATTGAACTTTGAGAAAAATGGTAGTTCGACTTGTATAATACATATCCCAGACACCTTAATCGATGGAATGTGTTGATGTTTAAGGTAGAGTAACATGGATCATCAAACGGTAATTTCAGATCATATGTTGATAATATCTGCTTGCTACTGCTTACATTTTAATAACTAGCGTAGCGAACTGGTGATATACCTTGATATATTTTAATGGTCCAAGAAGATTAGTCTGTACATAATATGATACTGACGGATGTGAGTAATTCTGGATCACTTAGACTGATCAGTAGGTTTTGCTAGCCAAAACGAGCGAAATGGTCATCCAGTGTTTGGATCAGCTTGATCTGATTAGTGAGCACTGCTGATTGATGTGAGTAGTCTAAAACTACTCAAACTAGTCAGCAAAATATTAAGCGTAATGATATGTTCTTAAACTTGACACCAACTGTGGTGCGAGCAGATCATATCATGTGGTCTCACCACGGACTGCGTATTTTCATGAATATCTAATTTATTTTTTAAATGGTCAGAGAAACCAAATGTCGTACAATGCATTGTTGCTAGAGGCACTTGTGCTTCGAACATCCATGATGAAGCAATTGAGAACTGAAGAAATCTTCACTTCCGTATTTCAACAAAATTTACTGCTGACTTGATAACTAGTAGAAGTCCGGCAGTACAGATGAGTGACACAGTCAAGCTTCGAACTTTCTGATCCCATAAATAGTCTAGGAACTTCTAAAAAAGATGATATCTTCCACCTCGATAAATTCATCTTTCAGCGCTGCGCTATGCCATACATCATCGCCATTGTGTTTTCAAGGTTACTGATACTGCATTGCCTATAGGGGTATTCCAAACTGGAATATGTGATAAGAGAAGAAAGAAGTGGTTAGTAACCTTTTACTGTCAAATGATTATTCCCTTGGTAAGGAAACATAACAAAGACAATCATTTGATAATTAAAAAAAAGAGAAATATATAAAATATTTTTAAAAATCCTACCTAGAAATCTCTTCTTCACACCTTGTTAATCCATGAACGCCAGGATGTAGAACGCGTGATGTTGCACTGCCAAAATCACATAGTACAAAATTACTTCGATCATCGATAAGAATATTTTCAATCTGTTTAACAGAAATAGGTTAAGGTGAGGATGAATTAGGTTCAGTAATAACTAATTAACAACAAATTCACATATGGGCCTATTATAACAAACGATATGATGGTTTCCCTGTGTAATTTAGTGCAACTAAGCAGCCAGGTGCATGTTTAGGTGCCAGATAATGAACTACATAGACTGTGCGAACGTAAATTATATTAATTGGTTATCGAAACTCCGATAAATGAGGCACGGCTAAAATCTGTGACCTATTGGCTGAAAGTAGACTGCCTGCATCAATCAATCTCACTGACTGATCGACTGACAAAATCAACGTAGAACCTCGCACACAAGTGCATCGACTTAAGTTAACACACTTCATAGTAGTACACAAAGAATAGGTGGATAAAACACAACTGATATCAGAGTAGATGAAGAAGGGTGAGAGAACAAACAATCTGAAGATAAAGGTTAATGTGAATATTCAAGCTTTAGAAGACATCAGTCAAAGAGTGAATACATCTACCCCACTTTCACTGGTTTTCAACCAAGGTACTAGAGTCATCGACAACTGATTTCTATCGTCTCAGGCACCCCAGTCACGCAGTGTGTGTGTCTTCATATGAATCAGACCAATAGTCGGAGGACTTCATCGACTGGTATCAAGTCTTATTCTGGCCACCCTGAACCCTATTCCAACCTAACTTCCCCCTAGCACTGTACGCCGAGATCGGCTGTGACTCAGTATGCGCAACATATATCCAACTCATCCCACTCGACTAAGGTTCACAACGTCACCACTCGACTTGCCTGTCTTGCTTAGTATCTTTCACCTGACTTCAACATTGCTCACATGGTGATTCTACAAAACATGAGCGATGCTATGAAGACACCTATGGTTAAGACCCTTTAACTGCTTCATATAGCCTAGTATCAACGGCAAGGTCTCACAATCGTATAACAGGACAGAACGGACTGCAACGTAGTACACTCCCACTTCGACAGATAGTCGGATATCTTCCCAATCGGCGCCACAGATATCGCAAGTTGACAAATGCCAAACAGGCCTTCTGTATCTAAGTTGAGATTTTGTCAACAACCACCCCTATCAGACACCAATGAATCACATCTTCAATACTACTGTTTGCATAAGCAGCAAGCATTTTAACCCTTGTGGAACAGATGAGGTAAACAACCTAACAGATAAACTCTCATGTGACTACCCACTTTTACTTGATCAATTTTCAACTGAATTATCCAACTGCAAGGAAATACACTACGCAGTACAAAGTGCATCATTACAATTGAAAATGTAATTAGGAGTTTCAGCATTGTAGTAAAATGCTGAAAAGTTAATACTTGTTTGATGACGTATAATTTACTTGTCATCTAACTGATATATAAATCCTGAGTACTTTTCTTTGCATTGCATTTTAACAGTATAGTTCGATTCAGAATAAAGTCGATTGTGCACAGTGAAGAAGTAATGAATTAAAACGAAATTGTTGCCTATCCCTGTGTGTTTTCAATCTTACTCCCCAACCTTTCAACTGCCACATGGTTTGATACTAAACTAGGGACTGCTATCATTAGATAACAAATAGGTCAAAATGTATTTTTTTGTTCTGCGTGCTAAATGGAGTATGCGGGCGATTGACACTTTCTGGCTACTCACACCACGGAAAGCTGTTTCTTCTTAAGGTAACTAAAAGAAAATAAGATCCGCGTGACCACAGAGCCCATCGGACATCTGCTTGAGGCCTGTCACATGAGACCTTAAACGTGATGCTATTTTGAGGTTTGGTTTTTCTAACTCCGACTAGAGAGAACCCATACCGCTGGAACTGGAAGGGCATGGGGAAGGCGGAGTGCTATTTTTGGGATCAACCTTCTCTAACCCATCTTCCCATTGGGAAGGCAGCAAAGGCCCGGCACTATTAGTCATCCAAAGGAAATACCTCAGTGTTGTCACATCTCACCCAGCTGGCAACAGTACGGTTTCTCCCTCAAACCCGCATCACAGTGTGGTAATTTACTAGAAAACGGCAACCGCTTTTCGTCTTACCACTATTCAACAGACCTTTCTGGTATGGCGGGACCCCTAGGAAACAAGCGTTCTACCAGTATAGCTCGTCGAGTTATTGTGATGTATAAGCCCGACCACCAACTCAAGGCAGTAACTATCGGCCGGCATTTATACATTCTGGGAGTTACTTCTCACTTATTCACAGAATGCCACTTACATTATCTGACATTTAGTACTTAATACCCAAGGTAGTAAGACAGCTTGTGGGATGTCGGCTATTAAATGGCATACAACCTACCAGCTGAATATGGCGAGGTATCCATCATGAGACTTGATGATCCAGTGTTCAATCCCTTATACATTTATGCGTGAGAGCTGCTTGTGAATTTATAGTTAAGATGAAACAGCTATTTGGATGCTATCTAATTTCACCCAGTGAAGAGCTCTAAAAATGATTTACATCAAAAAGAAATATGCTAAACAAATTCGGATTAGTTCCAAGGTAAGGTTATATTTCGGTTAGCCTAAATTCATACACCAGTTTGTAATAAAAATTGGATGAATGAAAGCTATGTTACTTATTCTCTCTTTCTCTTCCTGCATCGTACACACACAAAGGCCTGCGCCAGATACCCCTTATTTTGCATAGCTTTTGCCGGCTGTTTTACACATGACCTTAAAATAAAGTACATGCTTCTTATCACACTGTTACTGGTTTTTCTTCACTCTACTCTCATTGGTTGTCAGCTATATGTGGGTTTAGTGTTGTCAAGGTCACTTAGAAATGTATATATTCAGCATCTCTGTCAACTTTATTGACTGCTGTTGAAACAGTAAAAAGCTCTCTGTCAACGATCTATCTTTACTTCTTATCTTCTCGCTTCAATAGTATTGTTGTAGCGGTGGTTGATGTTCTGATTTGCGTTAGAGTTGATTCGTTTGTGTTTTAAGTTTGTATCGTTCGTATTCTGCTAGGCTAGCAGACTGTTAAGTCGTACTACCGCTTATTGCAGTCTGGCATGCTTTTGTATAGCCTAAACAGGTACAGCAAAATACAGTGTAGATGCTTGTCAGCTGCTGCAGTCGATTTTCAAAGAAAAAAAATATCTTTTAACAACTTTCCATGAGCATATCTTAAACCCACATGCACACATAGAGAAATAATTCGAATCTCATGCAGTAAGTGCTAGATTTCAGTCCCATCTCACCGACTTCAACCGTAGCAACTGAGGTGCATCACACCACCCTTACATAGTAGTAAGTGTGAATCATATAGCATAATAGATAAACACATGTACACAATTGATTCTCATTGTGTTTTTTCAACTTGTTTAGAATTATCATAAGTGAAATATGCATATACTTATTTGAATATATTTATTCGCATTGTATAATAATTTATGCATCGCATTATTAGGTACTGTAACATAAAAACTGAATAATACCAAAACTATCGAATCATTGAATAGGCTGCATCATAAGCATTATGCTAATAAACAGTATACTAAAAATATATTATTATTATTACGACTAGTAAACTCTACTGAATTCATTCATTCTTACCACTCATTGTAAAAAAGTTTTAAAACTATGCCACACAGTGAAAACACACATCTTTCTTCTCGATTCTCACCAACAGGAGCAGGAGGAATAATGAGAAATCAGAATATGTAAATTGTATCATTACAACTTTACAAGTATAATATTACAATGAGAAAAAATGAACAGTTTATTCAGTTTAAAGGTTTGTAGGGATTGATTGATTGGTTGGTTTCAGATTGGTATTCATTATGGATTGACATCAATTGGAGTAACATTGGAAAACTCGAGGCACTAGACAGCTATTTCAGCAGTACGCACCCATGATCCCCCACCTAACCACGGATGGAATCCAGGACCTTCAGCTTCCATGACCAGTTCATTAACATAGAGCCAATGGTTCACATTCCAAACTTCTGTCAGTTCATGATATGACGTGATCTCCATCCAATGCCTTTGTTGAGTAACTGTCCTCATGTCCAACTTGGCTGGCTCCGCCGGTTATAACGTCTCATTGGAACTTCAGTAATCACTTCTCGAAGCGAGTTATCAATGAGAACTCAATTAATTCAATTTGGAGATTTATGGGCAGTTATTTATTGATTTCAGGTTGGTATATATCATGGCTTACATCAGCTGGAGAACCATTGAAAAACCTGGAGGTACTGGACAGCTGTTTCGTCCTAATGTGGATCTCCTCAGTAATGCGCAACCAAGACCCCGCCGGGATCATTACTAACAATTTACTGTTGACTTGTTTGCCTGCATGTTTGTGTAAAACAATAGCAGAAATGAGGCTTGAAACCTTCAAAATAGAGCAGCTGATGACGGTGATTAATGCTTTTGCCTTATCTACACCACATAAACCATATATGACGATAAGTATTTGGTTAGAAAACAATAAAACCTTTGTCTCATAAACAAGAGAGCAGTTTTCTATACCATAGTTTTCAAGAATTGAGACGTGTCTATGGAAAGTACAAACCTTATTAGATGTAGAAAAGTAGTTCGCTATTGATTATTAGTTTACTCGTAACCGGGAAAGTCAGCATAGGTGTATGAAGATGAGAAACTTCTCACCACTCACATGGTCGATATCATAGCTAATGGGATAAACACTTTCCAACGGTGCTGTTAGCATGGGTTTCGATTTATCAATCAATGTCTTAACATCACGTTAAACAACGCAATCAGTTGGTATACACCAAATAAGGTGGACTGATTTAAACTAATAGTTTCACCTGATAAAATCAACTGCTTTCAACTGTCAGTCAAGTTGCACTTACAATAGCCCATCTGACTTCATAAAGTTTCTCAAACACTTTTCATAATAAACTTCTCGATCAGTAAAACATGGTAATCAGTGACATAAAATCTCAATCAAGTAGTGGTAATCATGATGGTTAATGAAAGTAAGAAATAAATCATACAGTTTTCAATAAACAAGAGGACAGATATTAAATAAATCAGAAAATCAGTTCATGATGGACAAAAGAACTAAATACAAAGAAGATAGACTCTATTGATCATGGTGACCAGCAGAGGAATCCAGGATGCGCGTTTCGTCTATCTGGGACTCGTCAGCTAGGATATACCTGCACCCCAGTGTGGAGTGATATTGTTTACACTGAGACTTGAACCTTGCACCCATCGCTTCAAACCTCAAGGTGTTATCCACTAGGATACTGAGGCACGATAGCCACCTCTTGTACAACGGGTATTAGTTATCACTATTGTTTTACTGGATTGAACTGTTCGACCTCCTTTGGAATATGGGCTCATATGCGGATGCCTCGACATTGCTTGAATACTTATTGTGATATTATGAAATAGGACAAAACGCGCTTCCTGGATTCTCTACTAGTTACAACCAAGTAAATTATCATAATTAACATTCAGGCAATATCAAGACATCTACATATCAGCCCATATACCAACAGATTAAGCAATTCGATCCAATAAAACAAAGGAGAATTACAAGCATATCAATGAGTAGTGATAACTTATACATGTTGTACAAGAGGTGGCTATCATCTCTCAGTTGCTTCGTGGATAACGCTTTGGCGTTTGAAGCGATGGGTACGAGGTTCGAGTCTCAGTGGGAAAAACACCACTCACTGAAGGGTGCAGGTACATTCAGCCAACGGGTCCCAAATAGGACAAACCGCGTACCCTGAATTCCTCTACTACTTACAACCAAGTAAATTATCATAATTAATATTCAGGAAATATCAAGATATCTGCATATCACCCCATATACCAATAGATGTCGAATAATTCGATCCATTAAAACAACAAGCATATCAATAAATAGTAATATAGTGTATTAGAGTTTGAACTCTGCGTCATCAAATGACAGTATAAGTAAGCGTTAATTTGCATGTCTAACACTTCATTCAGTAAATGAATCAGGATATATAAATATGTAGAAAAAGTTGAATTTTAATTGAAGATTGTTTAGTTAGAAATCAGAAAACATTAGATACAAAATAAGGCTAAGGTGAATAAACATTATTGAGCATACTTTTAAATCTCGATGAATAATTGGTGTTTTACAGTGATGTAAACGACAAACAGCTTCACAGATATCACCAAATATACGCAAGACATCAGCTTGTGTAAATCGTTGATGATTTTGTTTCCTTTCATTGATTAGTTGACTTAAATTCCCTAAGAAATAAGTGAATCATAAGTAAATACTTATGGAACAAAGGAAAATGGATATGAAAACAATTTGTAAATCTGTATGATATAGGAAAAAAACACCGAATCCTTAGAGAGAATTTTTTTAAAGATTTTTCTGTGTTTTTATAATAATAATAATAATAATAATAATGTGACGAATACACAACACTCATACTTGTGTAAATTAAAAGATCCGACTCCTTATTTGGAAGAACAAAACTGTGTTTATAAGCTAGACTGTAGTGAATGTGATACCAAATACATTGGAGAGACATCATGTCAAGTACTAACACATCTAGCCGAACACGGTCGAAGTTCCAAAAAATTCCTAGAAAAACTTGAAAAAACCTCTACCATCGCGGCTTATCCCCTATATTCAGGTCATAAAATATCATTTGAACAGACAAAAGTCCTGCAAAAAAGTTTTCTTTCTCACAAAGAGCAGACTAATTGCAGAAGCTTTGCATATCTGTTCATATCCTTCTTCGGTCAACAGAAAAGATGAGTTAGACATCCCATTAATATGGCAAACATTAATGACTCGTATAGGCAGTTGTAAATAATATATATGAAAAGAATGTAGAACACAATTTCATTTCACATGATTGATTACTAATTTACTCTTGCATCAATTGCTTTCGATGTTATTTCGCTTAATAGTCTTAACCAAGTCAAAAAATATTTTAACAACTTGTCTATTCCTATTACATAACACCCTATTGATCTCTTATTTTCATCAATTTACGCTCCTTTCTGAGTTATATACATTCGATGAACTATTCTATATATATAAGCAATAACATTAAAACTATACCCGTTACACAAGAAATAGTTATGACTCAATGGTCTAGTAGATAACGTTCTGTCATTTGAAGCGAGGTCCTGGAGGCAGGTATATCCAGCTGACGAGTCTCAAATAGGACGAAATGAACGTCAAGCTGGATTCCATTATAAGTCACTATCCATCAATAGTACATAATTTCTCTCTGTTAATAGAAGTTTTCTTTTTTCTTTTGACATGAATAAAACCTTATATTATTTTATCTAAGCGTTTGAATTAGCTGTACACGAGTATTCAGCTGTTCTCTATCTAGAGGTTAATGTACTTTGAACTTTACTGGAAATCTATGTTATGGTTAAATAAAAAACATATACCCTTGTTTTTTTTTATACAAGCATAATATATCACACGATATGAATGTTTGTGAATTAAAATTCGTGGTGATAATATTTAAGTCATCAACTTTCTAACCAGGTTTACAACCATATGGTTTATAGTTGGTAAGTTATGTTGCTACGCAATACAATACGGGTGAAAATTACTGATGAATGGGGTAAAATATTATCAGAATATAAATGTCATAATTTCAATGTAATTGCCACATACATATATAGGTCGAATGGATGTTAATGCTTAAACAGTGAGTGTTATCATAAATCAAAAAACATGACAACAGGCTCAGTCAGAATTTCAAAACTGATTGGTGCAGGTGTCAGACACGTTTCATTAAACTCTAAGCTACGAAGAGATTGGTAGGAAAAATATATCGTGTTTCTCGATATGAAGTCTTGTCTAGTTTTACTAGCCGGTCCTAAGGTCAGAGAAAGAGGGAAGGTTAGGCACACGGCTAGCAAATCCACCCCTGTGAACCAATCAAATCGTTAAACAAACTTCAAAGCACGAAGAAAATATAAAAAATAAACTTATTCCTCCCCGGAATCGGAGAGATGAAATCACCGTTTGGTGAAAACCCTCGGGAAGCCAACTGGCGGACGTGTCTTCTCTCCCTCGATGAAAGTGAAAGTGAGAATAGCGATATGGAATGTCCGCACCATATATGAACCTAGCAAGGCTGACCAGATTGTCAAAGAGATGAGAAGATAAGGTATAGAAGTGCTAGGAATCTGCCAAAGGAGATGAATGGAACTGGACTCTCAAACTCTTAACTGAAGACTCAACAATCTACTGCAATATTGTCATAGAGATGAAAACCACAAGCTTACTGAGTTTTGGAGTAGCTATCATGATGTCCCAAAAGAACTTCCTTTCCTTCTTTGATTCCAAACCTTCTGCAGATGTGGTGTGAGGATATCCGCTTCTGTCTCTGCGTCTGTTTTCAGTGCTTTCGGAGGAATTTCATCTGGTCCTGCTGCTTTCTCGGATTTCAGCAGCTTTATAGCGTTCAGGACTTCACTTCTGCTTTTGTAGGAGGGCATGTGTTTACTGGTAATTCTGTGGCTGGGTTGCTGGTGGTATTTCTGGACGAGTTGCAGGTAGTGGTGGTGGTCGATTCAAGAGCTTTTTGAAGTGGTCAGCCCATCGTTTCCTTTGTCTCTCTTCTTTGGTAATTAAATTTACATCATCATCTTTTATTGGTTTCGTCTGTGTTGATATCTCCCCTCTCAGATGGTGACCTGGTTATTTGATACAATGTTGTCAGGTCTCTGTCTCTCCCACCCGCAGTCTGTTTTAGTTCACTTGCCAGTGTCTTTTGTCCTTCCGCGCACTCTTCTTCACTTCCTTGTCCAGTGTAGTGTTTTATAGGTTATATTCAGTTCCTCTTTTTGTTGTTCATCCATGCACTGCACTACACTGGTTCATCTTCTGCTTCATCATCTTCATCTCCCTTGTCTATCAGCTTCTATGTATCCATTGAGATCCATTCCTTTTCTTCTTTCTTCTTCCTTCCTAACACGGTTATGCAGGTTTCTTTCTACATCTCTTTCAAAGACTTCCAGTGTTCTTCCACACAGGTTTCTTCAGGGATGCTGCTCGATATCTTTCATTTTTTCTTGATGGCTGACGTGAAGATGTGCTTTGTAGTTTCATCCAGTTTCCGAGTGTTGTACTTGAACTGTGGTCTATGACCAGCTTCCTTGAAGGCTTTTAACTCGATTTGGAAGGTTTCTTGTACTAGATAATAGTCCGAGCCCACATCTGCTCCTCTTCTTGACCTCGTGTCAAGTAGGCTGCGTCTCCTTTTTCTTGAGATTGAGATGAAGTTGATCTGATTTTTAGTGTCCTGGTGTCTTGTGAAATCCATGTCGCTATGTGGGTATCCTTGTGCTTGAACACACTGCCTTCCTCCAATCACCAAATCGTTGAATGCATGGAAGTCTGCAAACAATTCTCCGTTCTCGTTCATTTCACCTAGCGCTTCTCTGCCCATGGTTTGTTCTCTTCTTGCGTTTTCCGCTCCCAGTTTGGCATTCATGTCGCCCATTAGAATTTTGATGTCGCCAACTGAGGTCTTGTGCAATGTTTATTGCAGTTGTCCATAGAACTCCTCCTTTTTCTCTTGCTCTGCATTATTTGTAGGTGCGTAGCGTTGTATGATTTCGTGGCAGCACAGTTTTATTCTTTTGAGAAACACTAGATTTATGAGAATTGGTAACCCATACTCCTTATTTGAGTCCGGCTGACATCATTGAAGATTATCGGGATGATATGACTTTTGGAATTTTTTTTTAATTGTCTCTCGTTTAATCTCCAGACTTCTAGGATATTCGGTACGTTTTCGTCATAGTTCATTTTCTTCGAATATTAGTGATATCTTCGTATTGCTACTATCCGTACATTTCGGTACGAAAAAACAAAATGAAAGCAGGTGTAGCTTCTGTACCTTTGTGATTAGAACTTCTTCTTACATGAAAAGGCCGTATTTTGTCTGTAGCTTTAGCAGCACTATCGGTGGTACTTTTTATGACTCAGTCGTATAATATAGAGTTGAGCTGTCTTATAAGCCTAGTCAAAGTGTTTGATTCACGTGTTCCATATTTGGGCATATTTAAACGTGATGTTTTGCCTAGTAACTGTTTTGAAATGCTCAATTTCTACTGTTTTGTTTCTTAACTTATAGGCAGTTTCATTTATGAACCGCATGTCTGCACATTCTTTAGTCAGTCTGTTAAGAAGCTCATAAAACAGTATCAAGTTCAGTCTGAGCCTTCGTTTCCACAGTGGCTATGGTGATATATTTTAAGTCGTTATTCGTGTTGAGCATTCTCATTGTAAACTATCTCTGCACTGTTATATTGGTCTTAATGACTAGCATAGGAATGCAGTTTGATGTACCTCCACCCCAGTACAGAGCGATGTTGCTCCCCATCGGGACTCGAACCCAGTACCTTTCGCTCAAAACACCAGATCGTTATCCACTAAGCGACTGAGGCACGGTAGCCACCTCTTATGGAGCGGGTATCGGTCGTTGTGATGATACTTATAATTTTCCGTTGCTATACAGGGCCAAATTGCTGGGTCTCTGTGGCTATCGTGCCCCAGCGTCTTAGTGGATAACGCGGTTGATGTTTGAAGCGAAGGGTACTGGCCTCGAACCTCAGCGACAACAACATCACTCTATACTGGGGTGCAGGTATGTCCAGCTGATGAATCCCAATTAGGATGAAACACACGTTTTGGATTCCTCTGCTAGTCACCAAGATCAATATAACATCATGAATATGCAGCAGTATTGAGGCATCTGCATAGAAGTCCATCTATCAACAGAGGTCGAGCAATTCTGTCCTGTATAGCAACGAGAAATCACAAGTATCATAATAACTATCTGCACACCGCTTCATCTTTTAGTTTATCCGTAACCCGTATACTACTGTAGACAAATGAGCAATATTGAAGCAATGGTTCGATACATGTTTTATGCAGGATAACCTTCTGGATTCGTTAGTGTAGGAGTTTCTTAATAAGAAACCTACTAGTTTGCATGACTTCGACACCTGTGTGAATATGTGCTCAGAGAAGGCTAGGTTGTGCGAGTATCTCAATCTCAGGTCTTGATCAAGATAGACTGTTGGTTTCTACTCATAAATTCTTTAGTTAAGTTTAAGAATTGTATGTTAGTGAAATCAAAAATCATAAAAACTTTATGCAGTGACCTACTGGCTGTAAAGGCTAATAAAACTCTACCTGTAGCAAAGTTTTAATCTATAGCGTTCATAGGTTAAAAGTAAAGAGCTTAAGACTTTTTTCTATGGTAAAAGGCAAGATATCTTTACATATGTCGGGCGGAGCTTTGGTTCAGTTGTTTAAGGAGATAGCTACTAACCATTGAGCCGCAGGTTCGAATCCCGCCCATCTACTGAGGTCTGAGCAGATAGGTAGTATCACTAGCTCTCACACAATAGGTGTGGCTCATTGCCTACTGCATGGATGGGTGAAAAATGGTTTAGTGCGTTTCATAAAAGAGAAAAAAGTTATCGACTGTCTTGTAACGTTCACTTTTACTCTTAATCAGTTGTGCATTTTACGTTCGATGAATTCTGGTTTTTTTTCGCTTGACCTGTATTCCTTGTATATAATCAGGTCTTACTTAGTTAAACAATATGATACTATTGATGAATCGATAAGCTTATCAGTCTTCTTGATCGTTATTAAGTTTTAGAAAGAAGTATAAATCGAGCATTAACAATTAGTTTATTATTATTACTCATGGGAGAACTAATCACTTGGCCACACCAATCTATATCATGTCTATATTCAGTCTTCCAAACACTCATTCATTAAATCATCTATGTGCGAACAGTGGAAGTAGATAACACAGAAACAGAATCAACCATAGGTCGAGAGGGAATCCATGAAATGATGATGATGATGATGAATGAGAATGGAGAACTGTCTGCAGATTTCTGCACATTTAATGATTTGGTGATTGGAGTTAGCTTGTACAGACACAAGGATATTCACAAGGTGGCGACATGGATTTGATTTCACCAGACACCAGGACACACTACACTAAGAATTAGACCGACTTCATTTCAATCTGTTGAAAGTGGAGACGCAGCCTACTTGACACAAGATGAAGAAGGGAAGCAGATGTAGGTGGTTCACACCACTGACTAACTGGTAGAAGGAACCTTCAAAGAAGCTGGTCATAGACCACAGTTCAAGTTCAACACCCAGAAACTAAACTGAAGGATGAAACTACAAAGGACACCTTCACGTCAGTCAGCCATCAGGACAAAATTGGGAGACACTGAGCAACATTCCCGACTAAACCTGAATGAAAAAACACTGGAACTCTATGAAAACGAGGTGGAAGGAAACCTGCATAACCGTGTTAGGAAGAAAGAAGAAAGAAGACAAGGAATGGAATGGAATGGATCTCGACGAACACATAGAAGCTGATAGACGAGGGAGGTGAAGATGATGAAGCAGAAGATGAACCAGTGTAGTGCAGTGCATGGATGAACAACAAAAAGAGGAACTGAATATAACCTATAAAACACTACACTGGACAAGGAAGTGAAGAAGAGTGCGCGGAAGGACAAAAGACACTGGCAAGTGAACTAAAACAGACTGCGGGTGGGAGAGACAGAGACCTGACAACATTGTATCAAATAACCAGGTCACCATCTGAGAGGGGAGATATCAACACAGACGAAACCAATAAAAGATGATGATGTAAATTTAATTACCAAAGAAGAGAGACAAAGGAAACGATGGGCTGACCACTTCAAAAAGCTCTTGAATCGACCACCACCACTACCTGCAACTCGTCCAGAAATACCACCAGCAACCCAGCCACAGAATTACCAGTAAACACATGCCCTCCTACAAAAGCAGAAGTGAAGTCCTGAACGCTATAAAGCTGCTGAAATCCGAGAAAGCAGCAGGACCAGATGAAATTCCTCCGAAAGCACTGAAAACAGACGCAGAGACAGAAGCGGATATCCTCACACCACATCTGCAGAAGGTCTGGAAGGAAGGAAAGGTACCTGTCTATTGATTGGAAGAAGGGCTACCTTATCAAACCCCAGAGAAAGGGCGACCGAAGTCTTTGCAAGGACTGGTGTGGAATCACGCTCCTGTCCAACCCAAGCAAAATATTAAGCTGCATCATCCTGGAGAGACTAAAGGATGCTATGGATTCAAAACTACGACCAGAACGGGCTGGCTGGCTTCAGGAAGTACAAATCATGTGCCGACCAAATTGCAACACTACACTATGCATCATCATAGAACAGAGTATAGAATGTCAGTCAACTCTCTACCTCAACTTCATCGATTTTGCAAAGGCCTTCAACAGAGTCGACCAACAAGTAATTTGGAAACTGCTTCAACACTACGGAATAACACAAACCTTTATCAATCTCGTTCAACAACTATATGAAGAAGCCACATGCCAAGTAATTCACAATTAGAAGCTCACTGATGTTTTTGAAGTGAAGACAGGAGTAAAACAAGGTTGTCCACTATCACCTATGATATTCCTGATTGTGGTCGACTGGATCATGCAACAAACAGTGAGGAGCCAGAAGAGGTAGATACGCTGGCTGGACAGTGGAAAAGAACCTGGAAGACTTAAAATTCACCAATGACTTGTGTCTAATGTCACACAAACTTGAAGATCTACAGGAGAAACCTAACAAGTTGACAGAAGAAGCGAGGCAGGGCAGCGAAGATGGGACTTCAAGTAAACATAGTGAAGACAGAAGTGATGAAGATACCCAACCAACAACAAAAAGCCCTAATCACCATCAATGGGAGAAACTTAAAAGAAGTAACCTCCTTCACCTATCTAGGCAACACTGTTTCAACTACAGGCGACACAGACGAAGACGTCAAAGCCAGCCAGGATCGGAAAGACAGCAAGACAGGCGTTCATTAGTCTGAAAGCAGTGTGAAGATCTTTTGCACTCAGCACAAAGAACAAGATGCGGATTTTCAACACCAACGTCAAGTCAGTACTCTTGTATGGTTCAGAGACTTGGTGCGTTACGAAACGGATTTCCAATAAACTACAGACATTCATCAACAACTGCCTACGCTGGCTCGTTACTGAAGGTCAGATGGCCAGAATAGTGGGAATAAGCAACAAGGAACTCTGGGAACGAACCAACAAAGAACCTATCGCTCAACAAATATGCAGAAGAAAGTGGAAGAGGAGATGGATCGGGCATACACTGAGAAGGCCAACTGGGGACATCACGCGTCAGGCCAGGCCCTCGAGTGGAACCCCGATGGGAAGCGACGAGCTGGGCGCCCGAGGTGAGGGTGACGTGGGGGAGATCGTGCGAGGAGGAAATGAGAGCTTATGGGCTGTTGTGGAACCAGGTTCAAAAGATTTCAGAGAACAGAGCGCATTGGGGATGTGCTACCGAAGCCCTATGTTCCATTAGGAACTCAAGGGACAAATAATAATTATTATTATTATGTCAAGGCTGACTAACACTGACTGAAGAAATCGAAGTATGAGCATGCACACAAGTGTGTCGATTCAAGTTAACACGTTTCACAGTAGTATACAAAGAATAGGTGGATAGAACACGACTGATATCAACGTAGATATCAAAGAGGATAAATATTGGTGTGAATAATCAAGCTTTAGATGTCAGTTCAGGAGTGAACACATTAGAGCCACTGTCACCAACTACCCTCAACCACTAGTTCTCGTCGTCTCGCGAACCCTAACCAGGCACTCGATATCTCGCTACATGACTAATATCAACAGTCAAGGAGACTTCACGGACTGGTATCACGTCTCTCTTACAACGTAATCCAGCTTCTCATAGCATGGTACGTCAAAGTAGGCAGTGATTCGGCACGTGCAACGCATGTTCAAACAATCTCAGTTAACTAAGGTCCACAACCTCATCAATCAACTTGTCTGTCTTGACTAGTAACTCTTCACCAGACCTCTTCAACATTGTCCATATGGTGATTCCACTAAACATGAGTAATGCAACGGAGACATCTGTGATCAAAACCCTGTCTTCTATCTTTAACGGCCATGTCTCACAGCTGTTTATGTCAAGGAATTAGTTCAACCATTGATAAATAAAGATTGACGGATCTCTATATATTCACTCACTAGATAGTACATATATTCAGATATATAATTTCTCCGATTTGTTGGAAATTGACAATCTAGTAGTACATTTTTTTTTACTTTTCTACTTATTGTCTTCTACAAACTGAATGTATTACTATGGCTACTATACGAAAATACTGAATTCCATCAAATTCAAGTTCATCTTGTTTGCTTTAGCCATCATGTGGGTCATTGGTTTAATCATTCAATTTTTAAGAAGTAGATTCCATGTTCCAATCTGACCCTAACCACTTCAACCCTGGTCAACCAGTTAGTATCATAAGTGTATCTCACAATTTAATGTATAGGCTTATAACCAAATTGAGTTGTACTGTATCTCTCCTATGGCTTGTTTACAAAGCGGGAAACACTGATTTTGACCATTAAATTGAATTAAGTAGAAGTATATAAATATCGATGGTGAAATTAAGCATTGATATATTACTAAGCAGTGCTTGAGAGAGTTGTACATTAACAAAGAATTTACTCGTTCATATTCAACTCTATCTATCTATTGTGGAATCAGATAAGTGAAAAATGAAGCGATAAAAAAGAGAGTGATTACCACTTTTATACAACAACTGAAGAATCAAACATTTAAGAAAATACTCTTACCTGGATAATAAGACGTTAGTAATAAAGCTTCATAGATTCCAGGTTGAATGTCACTAATCTTTGAATCAACATAACGCAGAATATTTTTATGCGATACAGAGCTCTACAACAGAAATATTCAAAAAACAAACATATGGACCAAGTCAATATTAAAATTGGGGCAATTGTTGTTAAGCATCGAGGTATCCTCTTCCTTTAATCTCTAATGGAATCAAATTGATACCAAGTAGGTGAATCATACTGTTTCAGGCAATTTTGATACTATAGTGTTATTGCTCGCATTATACCATCGTTGATTGGACTGAATTGATCGATCTCTATTGGTATATGGGATCCTGTGCGGATGCTTCGATATACCTGTGTTCGAGTTATGATACAGATGCATAGTGGCTAGCAGTGGAATCCAGGATGCGCATTTCATCCTATTTGGGACGTTTCAGTTGGATGTACCTGCCTCCCAGTAGGAACAACATCACTCACTGGGAGGCAGGTACATCTAGCTGACGAGTACCAAATAGGCCGAAATGTGCATCTTGGATTCCACTGCTAGCCACTATTCATCTTTACTATAATTTTGATGTAGTGCCAAAGAAATTCATTAGCTGAACCTCTTCAGAAGTAGGAATTCAAAAGTGTATCTGAAATCTTTCATAAATTCATTCTATTCATTACTTGGAATTACATAGAGTAGGAGAAGCACAGTGAAGCAATAAAACAAGTGGGAAGCTTTTCTATGTGTTTTTAACTGTTGAGTTCAATATCGAATTGAAGTGCAGCGTCTATCACTTCAAATCCCAGAGTGATTTCCACTAGACTATTAAGTTCTGTTAAACATTTTTTGTACAACGTGGAACAGTTGCTGATATGAGAAAGGATGAAATGCAACCTGTTAATCACATGCAGATTCGGGTGCTACAATGTGAATCATATCCAATGTAATGGCTAATTAGACTACCTGGATGCTATACACTCAGTTAGCGCAGAGTGAGTTCGAACCCATACGACAATGACTAGATTACTAGTAGGTGTCGAATCATTCACTTCAAAATAGAACGACTAACAAAAGTATCAGCATTAATTGTATAAAAGGATGAATATAAAACAATCAGTTGAGATAAACCCTGAATGAATTGAATGATACATCTCAGTGACCCCACACAGACAGGTATCTGGACTACTTTGATTCATGCTTTTTGTGTAATAGCTGATGAAACCACCTAGTTGCTCCGACCGAGGTAGACAAAGTAGTATGGAACCAGAACCTAATGAATTGAAATTGACTGATATACAATACGTGCAAACTTAGCAACTATGAAGAGTTTAGCATATCTGAGTGGTCAGCAGACAGACCTTTTATTCATACATCATCTCCTTAATAGAAGTCACGTAGTCGTTCTAAAGAATAACAACTTCATAATTTGTGAATGCACAACAATTGCCTACTAAAGTACAACCTAACTAGAACTTATCAAAGTTGTCCAATCAACATCTTTCTTACCCCTTTACAGAATGCGCTCCTAAGTATACACCTATTCACTGATATCCATGTAAATAGCATAATTGCGACATCACTACACACTGGAAAACATTTTATTCCCAGGATAAAGATGTCTGCCATTATAAACTGTTGGATGGTCTACATTCACTTAAAAACTTTTTTCAATGGAAAAGAATCATATTTATATCACAATTAGGCTGACTTTTATGACTTCACTGTTCACAGCTATTCTTTCATCGTCTTATTAGATGACATTATCACTGATATGAAGTGGGCTCTCAATATCTCTCCGCGAGTGATTTAGTAGCTTGCCCTGACCAACTGGCTTGTGATTGGTTATTTATTTTCAACATTGTGTCATCGACCGTATAAATTTCCCTGTTGGTTGTTCCTCTGCTTGACCTCTGACCTTTCTGTCGCTTATCATTTTTCTTATTGGTTGGTAGATTCGGTCTATTTGTATACATCTACTGATTGTTGACTGACTAACTTGAATGCCAAGCATCTACGAATTCTCTGATATTCTTCGTGTTCCCCCCTCTCCGTCCAAGATTTCTACATTGTCAAAATTGAATTTATGTACATAGTTATCCATATGCACTGAAATGAGTGATGAAATGTCGTGATGTTTAATAGCCAATTGGTGTTCATGTAGACGAAGGTGAAGAGGACGACCCCTTTGTCCAATGTAGTATTGACCACAATTATTGGAGTTGATTTTTTAAATGATATTCGGTTTGTCTTCTTTGGTTGTTGCGTCCTTTAGTCCGCATAATAGAGTTTGGAGGGAATTTGTTGGTTTATGAGCCACATCGATTTCAAGTGGCCTCAATTCATACTGAAGTTAGTGCTGATGATGTCGTCTAGAAAGATGACGAGAACTTCACGATTAAACAACTCAACTCAGAGAGCACAGTACAACCGAGACCATCCATCTGAGCTATAAATATTCCCCACTGTTTCACTTATACTCATAATTTCTCATTGATTATTTAACTGGACTATGTTGATCAGTGTCTGTTTAGCAAATCTGCTTCATGAAGGCATACCTCTATACTGCCCTCAAATTTCATTTCGATACAATTTGCTTGGTGACATTAGACAGCGGGATCCAGGATATGTATGACGTTCTACTTAGGAGTCATAACAGGATATTAGATTTGTTTATTTTGATTTATAACACATACAGTATTATTTATCATCGCTCATAATCATATCAATGTAATTACACCACTTTCGATGCCTAATTTTTATAGTCCTGTCACCTCATATTCTTTTTTTCTATTGGTTTCTATCTCTGCTGTAGATGTCGCATCATTCCTATTACGCATATTGGGTGTAGGTTGGTTCGATGAACAAAAATTCATTATCATTTGACTATCTGAGATGGCCGTAGTTTGGCTAACTAATGTTTATACTAGGTGATGATTAAAGGTGAGATAAAAATCTGCACCGCGGTCGGATTCGAACGAGCAACAACGGGCGACCAGCGAAACCGGTGATCACTGGTTCGAATCCGGTCGCGGTCCAGATCTTCATCTCACCTTCAATCATCACCTAGCATAAAGATTCAGTAATCAATCTCTCTCTCCACCTAATTATATTGGACTTAAGCACAGTGGTTTTATCCCAATCACTCCATTGTGTGGTTAAGTATTCATGCATGCATTGCAATAGCCGAGTGTTTTTTTTAGATTAAAACTCTTTGACCGCTTCATGTCTTCTACTTCTAACGGTCATATCTCACAGCTGTATAAAAAGACAGAACGAACTGCAGTGCAGTATACTTATTCTTTGATAGACAATAGGATACATCGCCAGTCAGCACCACAAGTGATGCAAGCTGACAAATGTTGAACGAGCCTTCTGTATTCGAGCTGAGATTTCGTCCGGCGGGCTTATGCAACTCCCCAAGTAAGTGAAATGCTCCACAAGCCCTTACGCAGCTACGTGAAATCGAGTAATTGATACAACAAGTGAATACTGAAAATTTAGCACTCACTATTAAACGGTCGCCTAATATCACCGATCATCTTCCTCATTGTGGTCGACTGGACTGGACCATGCAACAAACTGTGAGATGGGCATACACTGCTTGACCAATGAAAAGACCCCAGATAAAGATTTGGATTTCGCTCATGATGATGATTTATGTCTAATGTCTTGTAGCACAAACTCGAAGATCTACGGATTTCGAAAACTAACAAGTTCGCAGAACAGGCAGGGCAGAGCAGCGAAGACGGGATTCCTATCAGGTGAATGTATAAGGGACAGAGGTGATGAAGATACCCAACCAACAACAACAATCACCGGTGACCATCAACGGGAGGAATCTAAACATTGTCTCTTTCACCTACATACCTACCTAGGCAGCATCGTTTCAAATACAGGCGACGGCACAGGCACATATGAGTATGTCAAAGACCGGATTGGAGGAGCAAACAAGACAGGCCTGCCTTTATTAATCTGAAATAATCAGTGTGGAAATCTACTGCACTCAGTATAAAGCGTGAACAACATCCAGATTTCCAACACTAAGTCAGTCAGTACTTCTATGTGATGGTTCACAGGCTGGGCGGCGCGTTAGGAAAAGCATTCCCAAAAAAACTGCACACATACATCAACAACTGCCGTCTACGCCCACTCGATACTGAAGATCAAATCAGATGGCCAGAATAATTAGAATAAGCAACAAGGAACTTTGGTTGGTTAGCTGGCTAGCAACGAACCGACCGACCAAGAAGCTATTGCCCAACAAATATGCAGAAGAAGAAAGTGGAGATGGATTAGATTTGATTGGACATAGACTGAGAAAGAAGACGGTTTGGGGACATCACGCGTCAGGCCAGGCCGTAGAGTGGAACCCAAAGGGGAAACAACGAGTTGTGTGTCCGAGTGTGACATGGAAGAGATATTGTGAGGAAGAAATGAAGCTTGTTGGCAGTGGTGGAGCCAGGTTGAAAAGACTGGAGAGAAGAGAGTGCAATGGAGGCGAGCTACTGAATCCCTGTTCTATTAGGAATCCAAGAAACAAATAATAATAATAATAATTAGACGGATAATCTGCGATGAAATGGTATTTATTAAAGGTACAGTTTTCCACCAAATGTCACTTCACAATCTTCCTTAATGAAAACCACTCAAACAAAAGGTGTAGCTTAGTCTGTAAATTGCTTATCGAGTTAGTAAAACATATATTCAAGCAAAATACTTAAGTAGATAAACTAAACGATAAATATTAAACAGTGAAATGAGAAAAATGTAGCTTGACACAAAGTACTCACTACAATAGTTATTTCTCGCTTACAAACAGCAAGATCTTGGGTATTGTTAACACATGTTCTCTTCAAAGCGTAAGTGTGCCCATGCTGAGAAACTACACGGAATACAACACCAAATCCACCTAAAAGAAATTCAAAATGAATAGAAATAATATATAGTAGTTAGACAATATGAAGTGTATCACAGTCAGACCAAAAAGTTAGTTAGTATTTTGTCGAAGGCATGAGAGGACCTGAGGGTTTTTACCAGTGGTGTCTGTGTAATAAACGACATAATTCTATTATTGTAATGATACTTGTAATTCCCCGTTGCTACACAGGACCAAATTCCTTGACCTCTGTTGGCAGATGGGCTCCATGTTTATGATGTTATATTGATCTTGGTGACTAGCAGAGGAATCCATGAAGCACGTTTCGACCTATTTGGGACTCGTCAACTGGATGTGCCTGCCCCTCAATGCAGAGTAATGTTGCGCCTAGCTGGGGCTTGAACACGGCACTCTTCGCTTCAAACCCTACATCGTTATCCACTAAGTCACTGGGGAGCGATAGGCATCTCTTATGCAATGGGTATCAGTTGTTGCAATGAGGAACTGCCTTTCCTTGGTTGTCTTGTTAAGTCGAAAGGAAATCGACATTTAAATACAATTATTTTCAGGAAAATAACGCATTCGAACAAATATTTCGATTCCAACTCATCACGTTTAATTAGTACAAAGATTTCTGTTGCCTCCAGTCTCTTAAAGAGAGCACGCACTCTAATAACGGATGAAAATGAAAGAGTTAAGGAATTAAGATATACGAAAAAGATACTTAAAGTGCATAACTAGCCAGTAAATTTCATTCGTAAAATAGAGAATAACATGAAATTAGATCATAAAACAATTCCTAAATCATGGGCCTCAACAATAGTTAACCGTTACAGATCGCACACATAGGATGAAATTAGGAGAGTGATCAACAAATACAATATCAGAGTATTCTACAGAACATCAAACATATTACAGAGCACCTTATTTCATTTGAAGAACGAGATCCGTATAGATTCACAGTTTAATTGTGTTTATAAAGTGAAATGCTCACACTATGATGCAATATGCATAGGACAAATTTCACGTGAAATCAAAGTTAGAAAAGATGAACCCTGAAGGGCTTCCACAAGACCCCGTAGAAATCCGGTTGGCCTGAAATAGCTTGAAAACACTCCAGGCATGGCTCTATACCCTCTAATTTTAGGTGACAATGTTGATTTTGACAATATCGAAATTATTCAGAGTGGCTTTAGAAATTGTAAAGAAATTTTCATAGTAGAATCTCTTCATATAAAGTGGAATCAAAATTGTCCAAGTGGGAAATGAGAAAGGGAGTGAAACGTCGTTTGACCTAATCTCAACCAAATCCTATAGATTTGCATTACCAACGAAGGAGCTATCAACATATGTGTACATACAAATCACAATCTGTTATCCACGCTCTTCATATACACAACACACTACATATGGATTTCATTTTTGTTCAACAGTATGAGAATGCAGAACCATTGATGCTGAAGAACACCCGTAGAGTTATCATATATAAGCTTAGGGGATATTGTAAATTCCGGTTTACCATAACTTTGATAAAACCATTATCAGAATTAAATGTTTTACATTCATGAGGAAATACAAATACCAAAATAATGAATACCAATTAAGTTTTCTTATTTGAGAAAAAACTACTTATCTAATTGAAAAATCGAAACCTAATTAGTGATTTCAGTGGTTGCTATAGAGGTCTTTAGATGAACTCCATTTGAAGCATAACCAATGATGTAATATATATGCCTGTATCAGTTTGTTGAATGGTATAATATTGAAGATTTAAGGATCATTTTATGTACTTACTAATCAATTAAGTCGAACGGCACATATAGTCTCTCAAAATCAATATTTTCGGAATTGAAGCTTAAGAATGACGATCATTAGGTAAAATTTTGTTCTGACAACTCCTCATACCTGACTAAGATTCATATCAAATATGAATAGATGTTGTTAAACCTCATAACTACAGAAATACTCAATATATATTACCGAAAAACTATACCATTGTTACCTATTAGTGGAAAGGATCAGGGGAAGATGGACTTTATTTCTAGTTTATACACACCAACTTTAATCACAAAGTAATTTAACGATTTGTCAATATTACATAGAGAAGTCATAAAAAGCAGACAAACAAATGAAAGGCGAATGACTACATAAACAGTCTGCTATATGCTAAAAGGTAGAAGATAGTTAAGAGTATGAAGTTGGCAGTTATTGAAATTTAACAAAGATGCATATTAAAATAACTCTAGTTACAACTCTGATTACAATAAACAATGAGAAGAATTAGAACACAAATCGACTAGCCTTTTGCAATAACTCCAAGGAATTATAGATTATATTATTGTAGTTACCAGCTACCAATAGACTATACGAACGAAAATAAGTTTTATAGTTCCAGTCACCATTCTTCTACATCTCACTGACTTGATATAACCTGACTTATATACATGTGCAGACTACTAGGTATGAGGACGCTTGTGCAAATACCTTCAGATCCCACCCCTTGCTGGTCACTCAGTTTCTCTGTACATACAAAAGGCGGTAATATAACAGAAAGCGCATTTACAACGTCAACAATATGTACAAATTACAAGGTTTATATATATTACAATGGCTTTGGCTACTTCCAGGCCTTTCTAGATTTAAGTCCTATTGACTTTTTGTCTGTCTTCAACCAACGTGATACACGTTGGTTCATGTGCTTTTTCCCGAAACTTAGAAGCAAAGCGATTGGTTGAAAAATTTTTTAGGCGGCTTCTTATCAGGATCTTGTCAAACTTTCTGCGCACTATAACAATGACAATGGGTAAACAACAGTCCAATCGATGCATAGAAGTGAATAAACGTCTTTAAAACAGTGTTTATTTATATTACTACAGTATATCAAGAATTAAAGCCTAAAAATGAACAACATACAACGCCTGAAGGTTTCAGTTTCGAAATAAACTTTCGGGGAAAATATCAGTCAAACAGACAGACAAAATCAACGTAGAAACTCGTACACAACTGCATCAACTCAAGTTACCACAATTTACACTAGTATACAAACAACAGGTGGATACAACACGACTGATATCAAAGTAGACGAAGTTGTATGAGAGAATAAGCAATCTGAAGATAATGGTTAATTCAAGTATTCAAGCTTCAGAAGATGTCGAGGAATGAATACATCTACGCCATTGTCACCGATTTCCAAGCATGTCACTAACAGTCTTCAACCACTGTTTCCATTCGTCTCGAGGGCCTGAACCAGACATCTCCCCAAACTCATATCAACAGTCAGGGACTCCATCAACTGATGCCACGTCTTAACCTAGCCACCCTGAACCCTTTGCCGAGCCCCCGTAGCATGGCCCGCCAAAGCAATTGGTGGATCGGCAAGCGTAGAGCGTGTCCAAGCAATCTCAGCCGACTAGCCTGTCTTGCCTAGTGCCCTTCACCTGACCTTGACATTACTCACACGGTGATTCCACCAAACCCAAGTAATACTACGAAGACATCTGTGATGCCTTTTAATTTCGACGGCTATGTTTCACAGCCATACAACAGGACAGAATGGACTGCAGTGCAACATACTCATCCTTTGATTGGTAGTCGTATATCTCGCCGGTGCCCCAGGTGACTCAAGTTGGGAAGTGCCGAATGGGTCTTTTGTATCCAAGCTGAAATTTCGTCGTATATAGCCGTAAAATATGATTACTGAAGGCACGAGACTATGAATAAATATCGATAATGCAACTAAACCTACGACCATAGAAATTAAAGAGCTTAGGTGTAGAGGTATAGGTAAATTGTGTAAGTTTATACGGTTGTCATCCTAAACGGTTAAAGTGGATAGCGAGTGGTATTCATTCGCGCAGTGTTGCAGGTAAAAAATTGTAGACTACTGACTTCTAGTCCAATTAACTGAACACCAAAACGCCTATGACAAAATCTGATAGTTATGAACTCTATCCTACGCAAGGTTTTAGGTATGCTCCATTTCAGAGTCTGAAAACAGGAAGATGTAGCTGCCTCGTACTTTCTTGTTTCAAAAGTTCTACAGCCGATAAGAACATAAAAATGGAAGCTGTTTTCAAACATTTATGCTTGTTATGATCATCGTAAAGTTTATTCTTCAGCTTTTTACATCTTTATTTACACTAGTTTACTGAAAAAAGGGGAAGAAGCAATACTAAGAGAAGTGGTTTCTTTTCATACATAAATTGAGTAACCACTTCTTTGAGTCAACAAGTAGCATTTGATAATCAGTTGAAATTAATGTGGAAAAGACACTGCTTGATCAGCTGACTAACATTATCGTAATACTAAAATTACATCAGATTCAGTTGACCTAATATGACTGACCATTTTTCATTATAGTTTCATAGATCCGCATACGGTGCTTTTTCATGTGACAAATTTGAAAAGCAGGATGATCTTTACGAATAGATAAACTTTTTTTAAGAGAGTGAAATGGAATTCAAGACTAGAAATTGTATAAAACTACATCTGAAATCAGTTGGTTGAATGAATCACCAAGCAGACGTGCATGTACAACTTTAAAGCATGATGTTTAAAGGTAGAGATAATCAAATTCTGGTGTGAATGAGGTCTTCAAATCTTTAGCCTACATAAAATACTACATCTCTGGGGGAAATCGTTACTAACTGAAACTGACAGTTTTATGGCAATCCCTAATTTTAGACAACAAGTGGAAGTGCTTATTCATCGCGTTATAGAGCTTATCACCTATGCTCTTTTTGGCAATAAATGTAATTTTGATAGCGTAATTAGAAGATAAAGTTTACGTGAACAATGTGATATATTTGCGCAATGCATTCCGAACAATCTGATCTCCCACTCAATTACTTGTCACGTCAATATATATTAAACCGAGGAGTGGGGGGACAAATACAACAATCAACACAATAGGGGATTAAAATTAAGAAAGATGAGAACAAACAGGAAGTGACGTAGTTCATCCTTATCTTGTTAAGAAAACAAACTTTACCAAGGTAGGTGTAATGTAAGAACAAACTGTTTTTGTACACATA